TAGCGGCTGCAAGTGGTTCTCTTCCTTCCGTCTCGGGTTCTTCCGTTGGTGGTGCGCTCACGCCTAACATGTTAGGCGCTGCGTCACAAGCACAAAACAACGCAGTTGCACAAGGTCAACTTGGTGTTGCGCGTCAAAATGCGGCTACGCAATACGGTAGCATTTCAATAGAGCAACAAAAGGTTGCAAATCAAGCATACGCAATGCGCATGCAGTATTGGACTACTGAAAACATGCAACATGCGTACGAAGTAATACAACGCACGTATGATTTGACGTATGGCCTGCATGCTAATCATGTTGACGTGCCTTTGGATGCAACAATTAGCCAAAAAGCCTTCAAAGATTGGTTGCGCGACCAAAGCGACAATAATACTGAACTTGCGCGAATCCTTGAAAGCGGTGAAGGTTACAAAGCACCGGACGGTGCGGTGTATATTGACGAAGAGGATTACAACGCAGGCGGTTCGCCAATCATTGATAAAACCGAAGTCAAAGGGTATGAACTTTGTGCAGAATTGTATGACGAAATACAAAAGCACAAAGGTGACCCCTTCTATGGTGAAATGTTTGAGCAACAATTCATGAACAACGCAGGTCCACGTGCTTGGCACGAACAAGAAGATTACACCAAGTATCAGCAAGACCTTATGTACTGCGACCAACTGCAAGCCAAGTTGGATTCAGTACTAACGGCTTTGGAAAGTGCCGAAGTTGAAAGCGAAGTGCATCAACAATTCCGCTTTGCAATGCAAAACTATCAAACGGCAAACCCAAAATATCATCAAGCAATCATGGATAAAGTCAACCACTACGGCCTTGTCTTTGACGCAAACAAGAATCTTTGTTGGCCTGCCTTTGAAGATAGTGAAAGTGGTGAACCTATTCCGCCAAAACGTTTGTCAACGCAGGAAATGATAGACTTGGGTTTTGTTGACGTTGGTTTTAACTACAAAGAGTTCTATAAGCAAAAACAATGGTGGCAAGCAGCACGCATGGCAACTGACCACGAACATTTTCAAAGCACTATGCGCCAAATGCGCAAGAGTGACCGTATTGCAGAAAATCAACTTACAATCCAAGACAAGGCTTGGAATAACGCCACCGTAACTATGCAATCACGTGGCATACTTGGTGACGTTCTCAATGACGCCGCAGGCTATAAAATTCTTTGGGAAACATGTGGTTTTGACCGTGTTGCCGTTGGTGTTGGTGCTGCTGCCGTTGGCGGCTACAAATTGGCTAACGATTACCACCAACGTAAACAACACCGTGTTGAATCACGTGCACACCGTATAACTGAATCATATGACAAGGACGGTAATTTAACCACTTCCGAAGTATTTAACGTCTTTGACGAATAATACTTATTTTCTACCCTTTGTAAAAGGGTCTTTCCCTTGGTTATCATATGACAAGTGACACAAGGTTGAACTAATCGAATATACGTCCTTTGGCGTCTCGATTTGAGTGTCACTCCCAACCTTAACAACGTTAAGTGGGTAACCCTGCCGCTTTGTCGGCTGAAATCCCTAGGTTATGTATTAAAAATGTAGGCGTGCCAATCTCGGTACGCCTGCAAAGTTTAAAAAACTGACAAAAAATGCCAAAAACTGACAAAAAATGCCAAAAACTGACAAAATGTCACAAAATAAAGTTTGGCACGATTTTTGCAGGTAATAAGTATAACTTAAAAACTGCAAAATTATGACAACTTATCAACTTAAAAAGCAACTGAAACAACAAGGTTTTATTTACAATCGCGCAAATCGTATGTACGAAAATCTTTGGATGCAAATTCTAATCGAAGATGAATTTCATATTTACGTAGACGGTGCGTTTCAATCGTCAAAATTAGACTGCGGCCTTTACCTTGGTAAATATTATTGCGGTTATCGTTTTGACTATAGCCGCATGTCAATTCAAGATTTCGATGATTTAGTAAATTTGGATTAATATGGTGACAAAAACTACTTACAACGTGGCAACGTGCTTTACTATGGCACGTTCCACCTTTGAGCACAACAATTGTGCGCTTATAACTTTGTCGGTAACTAATCAAGAAAAGAGTACTGACCAAGGAAAGGAAGTCAATCATGAAGTGGCAATTGCTTATTCAATGATTGACGGAATGTTACACCTTTATAAAGGTTATGACGATTATAGTGCTGCGCAACATGATTACTATGACATATATTTATATGCGGAAAATCATAACACCGAGCAACTGACAACTTATTTACTAACTGAAAAAAAATTCAAGTAACATGAAAACATTAAGAGCCTACCACGTAAATCCGTACGTGCTACGTATGCACTACGAATTGAATCACTACACGGTATCATTATTTAAAGATGGCGAATTAATGAGAATCCGCCAATTTGAGCAAAAGGTAAATGCTAGTTTTTACTTTGAGCAATGGGAAAACGAAATTAATTTTGAACTTGGCTTTGACTAAAAAAATAAAAAAATACTATAATTCTTTTTCTATGCCAAAAAAAAAATAAATGGGGTTGTCCATACAGACAACACAACCCCAAGGCAATGGGGGGTGAATTCCGCGCGTGTTTACACGTGCGAGAAAATCCCCCCTCAGCCTTTCTTCATTTCCCTTGCAAAATGGTTTGGTACTTTCTAAAAGTACAATACTACTATCCGCAGGCGCGTTAGGGATTGCAGCAAAGTGCATGCACTGCGTAAAGCCCGACCCCCCCCCCCTTTATGGGGGGGGGGTAACGCCCAAAATATAAATAAAACCCAAAAAAAATGGTCAAATATACCGACTTGCTTACATTGCGTGACAATCCTTCCGCCTTCGCTAACGGCCTACAAAACTACGTCTATCAAAATTGCAGCAATCCGCAGAAGGTCAAAGTTTTCGATTCCGTTCAAGGTACTTTCGTTTATCGTGAAGTGCCTTGCGGCAAATGTTGGCATTGTTGCCAAATTAAACAAGCAGACTGGGTGTCTCGCATGTTCTTACACAATGAGTATTGGCCGCATAGGTATTTCATAACACTAACATATGCACCACTTTATGATGACAAAGATTTTGATTCTCGTGCTCTTTGGAGTGATTTTGAAGAAACACTCCCTTTATGGGATAGTGACAACTCTGCTCGCAGTTATGGTTTGCATCCTTGCATTTTATCTCGGTCTCACCTACGCAACTACTTTAAGCGACTTCGTAAGTCGCTTACTACTGAAATAAGCATGTTTGCCGTTGGTGAATACGGAAAAAAATACTCTCGGCCGCATTATCATTTGATAGTATGGTCAAAAGAACCTATAGACATGCAACTTTTCAAAGATGCATGGTCTAAAAAATTCATTGAGATTGACGGAGAAATAAAGCCGTATCGTGGCCAAAATGGCACGCCTAAACGCGTCTATTTTGGTGATGTTGACGTGTGTGACTTGAATAAACCACGTTTCAAGTCTCCACATGGCAACACAACAAGTGACGTATTTAAATATGTCGCAAAATACGTCAATAAGTACGAAAATTACCAAAAAAATCAAGAAAATGACGCCAAAAATACAAAAAACACTATTTGTGGCGTAAAAAGTTTGCGTATATGCAAAGTTTTTCGTAATTTTGCGCCCGAAATTTTAAAACAACGTTACTATTATGAAAAGAAATGTATTAGCAAATTCACTTCGCAGTATGTTCAAGACCTTACAGACGCGCCTGCGCCTCTTGTTCCTTTCTCGCGTTATCAATTTGTACGCGCGTTTGCTCCCTTCTCTGTATGCAGTACTAAAAATGCTATTGGCAAGGACTTCGTACTTGGCAATCTCGAAAGCCTTGCGCAAGGACGTTTCAATCCGCCTGCGGTTGACGGTGTTTCCTTCCGTTTCCCTGCCTACTATCGCAGGCAAATACGTGACTATAAAGCGCCTATACGTATATGCAAAGATTCGTTTGCGCAATCTTCCAACGGCTTTGCGTTTTCTTTGGGAAATTACAATTATCTCTCTGCGTTGTCGCAAATTATCGCTGACCCTGCGCCTACTTCTGCCGCTTGCACGAAGTTTGACGAACTTTTGCGAGAATCGGCTTGCGTCTCGTCTCGCAATGCTGACAAACGCAACTACGAACATGTAAACGTACATTTGTACGATAAATCAACAAAAACACACTTAATATATGACCCACTTTGCAACTGCTTTTTACAATATAAGCAATCGCGTGGCATACTTGTACGCACGCAACAAGATTCCGTATGTGCAACTTACGTTGCCGACAAGATTAAGCAAGGTTTTGCGTATCTCAAAGGGGTGCACGACGATTTCATTACTAACTACAACCGTGAACAATCTGCTTTGCAGGTTCTTAAAAAAGATGTTGACAACTTCAACGGACTTTGGCTAAATGCCGTGCAAACATTAGACCGTAATTTAGAATTACACCAAAAATTATATTTCGCTAAACGTAAATTATATACCCGAGATTATGACTAAAAAAGAATACTTCTCACAACTATTGCCGCAGTCACCTTCTGCGGAATGTTCACACCGTATTCCTTCAATGCTAACTCTTGCAAGTAGTGACACCAACAATTTGAATGCCGACACCACAACGGCACAATTTAACGGCTATGACTTGGACGATATTCAAGAAAATAGCCGCATGATTAGGGCACGTCAAAACGAAAAGATAGACATTGCACGCAAGGCAATCGGTGAAGGCCAAAAAGTGGCCGACAAAATCAACGCAAAGAAAAAATCTAACTCTAAAACTTCACAATCATGAATGAAAAAGCCAAAAAAATTGCAATCTTTGTGCTTAAACTGATAACGGCCGTTTGTACTGCCGTTCTCGGTGTCCTTGGCGCAACTTCGCTTACTTCGTGCGGTGTAACTCGCGCGACAATTAGCAATCCACGTGACGGTTCGCAAACAACTATCACGATATCTACCAACAACCCAATAACAACGAATGTTGACCCCAATACGGACGCAACATTTGAATATAAACCCACTAAATAAAACAACTATGGCACACTACAACAACAAACGAAACAACGCGAACACTTCAAATATCAATGTTCGTGACCTACCTTCAAGTGGTTTCGACCTCTCTTACAAGTCGAAAGATAGCGGGGCAATCGGCTTTCGCAAATTAGTCGGCTATGAATACTGCATGAGTGGTGACAAAATGCGTATCAACACGGCCGCAGACTTGCAGTTCCAACCAACTAATGCTCCAATGCTCCCTGCAATGGATATGCGCATAGAGCACACCTTTATACCGTTCCGCAATGTAAATATGGACTATGAAGATACCTTATCATTTGATAAGGGTGTCGCATGGGAAACAAGTGACTATCCACATTGCCAACTTGTTGACTTGGTGGACGTTTTTCAACTCGTTTCAAAACAAGACGTTCCTCTAGTTAACAATATGTATGACTTGTACGCGGCTGACATTGCAGATAACCCTAATGTTGACTCTTTTGTTACTTGGTACATTGAACCACTTCTCACCAATCTTGAACGTGAATCTGCACGTTATTACGTTGACGATTTTTGGTTTGACTTTGTTAGTCATGCCAAACGCCTTGAATCTGGTTGGCAAAATATGACTTCAGACGCCAAGGTTGAAGTAATTGCACGTATTACGTATGATATGTATCGTTATTTCTTTGGTGAAGGTTCTGCTCTTGACGTTCTCAATGCTCCAATCCTTCATTATAAGGACTATCGTTCTATGATTGAAG